TATTTATATATATATATATAGACATATTTTTGTACGTATATACATACATGTATGATATGTTCACGTTTATGCACGTATGTATGTATGTATGTATGTATGTATGTATGTATGTATGTATGAGTCTACAAGTTAGCATGGTGGTCGAGACTCTAGGACACATGCATCATGCAGCATTCCGTCCTCAAGGCACGACTGGGAGTGTTCGAAGAATCGTTGCACTTTGAGCTTCTTGCTGCCTGAGCCCGTGTTTATCCCTGTTTCATGGGCATCCGATTGGAAATGGAGGTGAAGCTTCCGTTCACGTCGCTATTTCGCGCAGCATCTCGCGTGAGCTGAGTATTCGCGCGCAGCCCTGCAATGTTCAAAGGCGTCCGGGCACGTGGATCGGTTCAACGACTTCATGGTTCGGATCTGATTTGTTTTTCCTAGCGCTGGCACTGGCAATGATCGTTCTTGATCCATCCCGCAGCGTTGCCCTTCTGCTTTTCTCGCTTGCTGTGCCCACGGAGGTCAAAGATGTGTCCGATGAGTCCAAGTTTTTCAGAGCCGACAAGTTGCTCGAGGTTCTGCGTCTCGAGCCTTTGACCAAGGGTTGCACAGTCGCGCTCCTGATATTTGCAGGACGTCATGGACGAAAAGCTGAAGGCCGCCGACTTGACGGAAGCTCAGCGCGTTGAGCTCGCGGCTCAGAAGCTAAGGGCGGACGACAGTTGCAGCGTGCCTGTGAACCCAAACCAGGTACACCTCGGTGCGAAACCAGGCCGATGCGTACTCCCAGCAGGAGAGCCAGGGGCAGCGACCGATTGGGTACCAGACAGGTCGAAAAACGATGGTTCAGCAGCTTGCGTGTATTGCGCGGCAGGGCGAAAGGATTCTAAAACTCATAGGATGTATACGGCTGTTTTGGAAAGGTCTGAAACACAGGAAAGTCTTAACATTTTCTCGCACGTTTTGTGTTCAAATTGGCATGTGGGGGCCTGGAGTGCTGGAAGCCTGTATGCTCGCATTAAAATATCTGTTATGCGGTAGCTGCAGGTATGGGCTTCGAGGGTGCGTGAAACAGTGTTGTGTCGCGAATTCTCCTCTCTGGAAGGGGCCCCTGATCCGGAGCGCATCACGGCCTGATCCGTTCCAAATGATCAGAGTATTTGATATTACCATGGGAAAATCTAGACTCTTCGGGACAGTGGTGGAAGGGAGGGTTCCAGCCCAGCAACGGCGAGCACTGCTTGGAGACCAAGACTCTTTTGGGGCATGGATGCTTTGAAGAAGGGATGAAGTAGGAGTGGACATCATGCTTAGTGCATAGATGCTCTGCATGGGGACCGTCGGAGGGGGAATGCCCTACAAAAGCATACATGCCCCAACCCTAATAAGTTGCAACCCGACCACATCCTTTTTCTAGACCATCACCAAAAACTGAAAGCATCCACACCGACTGTGTCTGTTCCCTAGAGTGTCGGTGCCTCAACCATAAAAGCGTCAATGCATTGTCATGTTGCGGCATGATGCTTCAGGGAAGATCGTTGTGGAAGTTACACTGAAGCTGCACTGTTGGAACATGAATACCCTGAGAACAGATGAGTCTCCGGCTAATCATGCTTGCAGTCGTTCAACAAGGGTCTGGGCACCTGATGCGGAGCGAAGTTTCGAGGAGCTGCACCAGATCTTTCAGAAGCCGGGCTTCCCAGTGTGCAACCAGCTGTGCTGTGCGTTGTGTGCCTGTGTGCCCATGCGACAAACGGCCACTCGGTTGTTGCACAGGTTTGCAACAACATGTTCCAGGTATCAGATCAAGTCGCCTGAGACTGGCAATGATTTGAGCGAGCCCTACGAGCCACTTAGCTGCGATTCCAAGGAGCCAAGCTTGAAGTTATCGGCTGTAAATGTCTGCATTGCCTGTGATCGGGCTTGATGCTGCAATGCAAGTCGTTTTGTGTGAGACCCTACCACGACGTGCCCGAGGTTCAACCTGATGTTTCCGACTCCTATTGGCCCAGGAGGCTACCTGCAGGCAGCTCCGGCCACAAAGCCTCCGTCATGCCGGCAGTCGTAGACGTTACACAAGAAGGTCTTGCGAAAGCTACAGCTAGCTAGGAAAATCTAGGAACGTTCTGTCAACTCAAAGCCCAGAGACTGACTTGTGCTGCGAAGCCTTGGTGAGGGCTACCTCAGGCCGGAAACTGCGCAGGCTGGAATTACATCTGGACGGGGAAAACTGCCACACAGCACAACTGTCTTAGTTGCGTCAATGGGAGGGCATCTTCTTGAACTACAAGTTCTGCTTAGAGCAGAACTCAAACCGGCTCCCGTTTGGAGTGGCGCAGGCGCTGAGTGTCGTGCTTGACACCCCAAATCAAGGAATAAATCCAGAACAAGCTAGTTTAGTCAGGGCTGTGGCACCAGCCTTCATGTCAATGTCTCGATTATGTTGATCGGACTGAAGAGTCAGACTGCACTGTTTTGCGGTTCTGCATGTTTCGCAAGGTGGGGCGGTCTTTCCGCAACGAAATCGCGCCTCGGGCAGGTCGCACCTCGTGTCCAGACTCCACAACATAGGCATCATGTAGTACTCGAACCTGAGCTGGGCATATTCGCATATCTGCAGCTTGACTCATGATCGGTCTATGCTGGCAGCTGCGCACTCGCCAGGGCTGACAAGACAAAGGGAGTTCACTCAAGCGGAGATCGAGTACTTCGTGAATCCCAAAAACAAGGCAGGCCTAAGAGTTGCAGCGAGATCAAGCCGCGTTTATCAGCCGGGGTCCAGAATCTATGGCACTTGCGACTTGCTGAGGATTCGTTCAAGGCAGGGATATGAGGGTGTGTTTATTAACGTTGTGTGCTCTTGTAGCTTCACTGCTTTGCTTAGTACCTCTACTGACTTCGTGTATTCAGATTGTTTTGTCATTTTGGTGACAGGGGTGCAGGGAGGGTCGGGTGCATCTGGCCGGACGCGCAGCCAATCCTGCGAAATATCTGTTACACACATATATCTGTACATATTAAACAAAAAATACGATCATGTAGAGGTATGTAGAGATATACAAAACATTGTGTGACAAAGGCAGCAGTCAAAGACAAACTGAGCCTGCATTACATGCATTCGCTAACAACGGCCCTGCGAGGCAAGGAGAGTTTGTAAGTTCAGAGCCTTCATGACCCGTACCCGCCATGGCGGAGACGCTACTTGTGCTAGCTGGTACATCTCGACATGACAGTATTGCTGTTCGGTGTACAATTGCGGTCGCGAGCAACTCGTAATCCAATCATCATTGACATGCTTACAACTATTGCAGCAGCCACAGGGCAATGACGCATCGGTCAGTGTGGCATGTGGTCATGTGACAGTCCTCAGCCCTGATGGCAGCAGCTTTGCGGGATTTTTGGACGATCAGTGTTTACCTAGCGAGTTCGAGCAGGCACATCCCAAGTTCAAGATGGTCAAGGACACCGCCATCTCCCCGGTGTTTCGAACTTCGGTCGCCGGCAGGGGCAATTCACCATTGGGAGCCCGACTCGTTCCAGAATCGTCGCTCATGGCTTGATGGTGGTGGGCCGCTTTTGCTTCGAGGTCCTGACCCTCTTCCACTCAGATGCGCAACTCTCAGCGCAGGCTCATCCCAAGAATCAGGGCAGTTCCCAAGCCCAGACTTAGCCCAGCATGACTGCAGCTGCGAGACCCGTCAGTCTTGCGTGCTGCCAATGACAGGAGCCTGTCAAAATGGCGGCGGGCGAGGCTGTCAGCCAAGTGCCCAGGGCGTGGAAATTGAAGAGCTTGCGAAGTGCCGAGCGGCTTCTCTAAGCAAGGCCGTGGCCTTATCAACAACGAGACCCTCGCCTTCTTCATTGTGAGGTCAGCAGAATGTCAGCAGGGTCTCCCGTCTTACCCGGTGCCGGTGCTCATGAAGTAAGGGGCAACTGCGACGTTTCAGGAGTATCAATAAGTCAGGAGACGACGGATAGGTTGGTTGAAGGAAGGCCAGCAACTGGCTAGCACGGTACAAGACATGAACGAAGGGTAAGTCTTGGTGATAACTTCGAGGCCTTGAAACCTGGAATATGAAAAGTCTGCGAGGACATATCAGTTTCTCCTGCACATCGGTCTGGATCAGGACAGGGCCGTGTCTCCGGTCTTGCTATTCACGGGCCTTGTTTGCAGGCCTTTGTTCGATTCCGGCAGCACTTGCCAACAGAGATGGCGCACTATGCTTGCGACTGCTGGGACGCGGAAATCTTCGGTTCGTATGGGAAGCTTGGATTGAATTTCTCACGAGGTTGATCAGTGAACATGCCAGCGTCTGCGGCAGCCCACCGCAGCTGTTGCCCCAACCGGGGCAACGCATGCTTTTTGTACCCCCCGCTTGAGTCACCTGAGTGCCACACAACGGATGGATTTGCCCCGTTTCTACATGCGGCATTACACGATTGCCATGAGCACGTGTTTCCGGGCTGGTTGTGTTGAAAGCTTCTTGACCAACAAGTCATTAGTCAAAACGTGCTAAGACTGGTGTTGATGGCCTTTCGGCTGAGGTGGCTGGAGTGTGTCGGCATTGCCGACAGGTCTGCGTTTGACCTAAACGCTCATGCCCGCGTGCTGCTCTCAGGGTGGAGCGGTGGAAGGTCCTGTGCCGTAGTGGTATGTGATCGCTCAATTTGCGCGTGAGTTCTGTCGCCCAGGCCGCAAAATGTGACTTGCAGTACAAGGAATCGCTGGAGAAGCCAATTGAGAGGGAGGTCCTGGCACTCACGAAGGCCTCGCAGACCGAGCCCTTGCATCTCAGAATACAAAGCGAGCCGGAGCTGTTTTAAGGAGGACTAACAAGAGCACGGATGCACATGTGCCGTCGTTGCCAGAAATCTGGCGTGGACATCATGAAGGCCTTCAAGAAGGATGGACGCGCAGTGAAGGAGACTCAGGGATGGATAGACCGGGGGAATTTGAGCCCTATGCCCGGAAAGACCCCAATTGGTCACGAGGAGTTTATAGAGAAACTCCCACAAGAGGAGATTGCCAGGCTCTTAAAACACCTTCTATGTGAATTCAGCCAGCTCGTGAATCTTTGCATAACGTCAGCCCCAGTTTGCCAAATTCTGGTGTCTGCAGTGGCAGCTCGTTCCTGGAGCGCCGCCAGCTGAAAGCACTCTGATCTGCCACTCCGAGGAATGCATAGCAAAGCAGCTGGAGGGTGGAAAAGCAGACGTGCAGGTGCCTCACGTGTCAGCCCACGAACATCCATAGGTCTGGCCAACTGACCTTTGTGATGCTGGCATCCAATCAGACGCACCATAGTCTAGTTTCAATCATCTGCACCATAGTTTCAATATGCTCCCCAGAATCGTGCGCAGACAGTCGACGGTCTTGCTGTTGCCTGAACTTGGCTGCCGGAGCTCAAGCTGTGAACAGGTGGAGGGTTCATCATTCACATTGACCAAAGAGCTGGCGGTGTTTGAGCGTAAGGCACCGCGTCGACGACGAGCGAATTCTAGGTTCACCATGCTGACTCGAAATCAGATGGAGAAGCAGACGGTCAATGCTTTCACACCTGGGGTTATCGAACCTTCATTTGGAACCGAACTCAGAGTGCTTGAAGCCCAAACTCTTGGCGCGACACAACAATCCACAGGGCCGTGCATCCAAGGCATTGACCGCATCTTTGCTTCTCTGCTCGAGCACGTCTACTACGCCCGTCCGAAGGAGCCACAAAAAGTGAGTGCAGTGTACTTTCGCTACGTTTGCGTCGCAATTACGCAGGAGGAGGCAGGAGACGACAAGGACAAGCAGACCCGCGGTGTTTTGGCTTTCGCTCCATCCTCCGCACCATACAAGTGTGCCGGGCATGTGTCCGATATCTTCCTACGGGTCACGGGTGCTTTTACGCTAGCACCGATTCATACATAAGCTTCATGGCAGGTGTGTTATTCTACCGCTGGACCAGCGGATTGCCCGTGATGAGCGCTATCTGAACATGATGGATGCTGGCTCCTCAGCTCCCAGTGGACGCAAGCTCAAGACTTGCTTTCGCCGGTTCGCCAGGCATTTCAGCTAGAGCTCGTTGAGCTGGGCTTGTGCGACGCTCAGCCGCGTCTGCCTTGGGCCTTAGGCCTCCTCAATGACGGCAGAAACGCCCATCAAGAGGAAAAGCAAAAGGCTGCACATCCGCACGATGGGGGCTCTCCGCGGTCTCCGCGGTGCAACTACTTGTGATCGCCATTTGTCTGCCCTCTCCGCCCTGTGGGTTTTTCCTCTTTCCTTTTGTTCTCTTGCGGTAAGGATTCTCCTCTGTCCATTCTGGTTTTTTCAGCGGGCTTGGTGTTCGGCTCTGGCCTCCTGGGCCGCCTGGGCCAGGGATGGCCCGCTCACGACCTGCAGGAGACGAGCGTAGGCAAAGAGAGTGAGAAGAGTGTTCAAGCTGCAAACGAGGTCGTTCACTCTTGATGAGAGCAATGCCACCATCGGAAAGAGGCCTCGCCTCGTTGGATCACCGGTCCCGCACCTGCAAGCTTGAAAGACTCGACGCACCTTGCCTCGAGGTACTCTCGGAACGATGAGCTCGGAATTCCATATGCTGTCACTTTTGATTTCGACACCTTGGAGGACCTACTGCTTGTAACACCTGGATCTGTCTGACAAGCTTGATGCCATGTTGACACTCGCAGCTGTGCGCTGTGTGCGCCACTTGCCCTTGTGTTTTGGATCCTTTCGGGCTCAGCGCGGCACAACGCTGTTTGAGCGCTGTAGTTCAAGAGTGCAGAGTGTACAGGGTGTAGCAACTTGACATGTCGCTAACGCAGAAAGATCTGGAAGATCTGGACGCTTCTTTGCAATAATCTTTCACTCTCATGACATGGTGTACACGACCAACGAGGACCAAACTCGCCCTCTGGCTAAGGCGAGTACCAAGATTGAACTGCTGAAGCAGTTCTTCCAGGTCTGCAGTCCAGTGACCTTTGGAGACTTGCATCCTTTTGCCTGCTGCCTATCCGTCTGTGGCCTGTGCCTGGAGCACGAGCATGAGTCAAGTCTGAAAGTCTTGGCAGGCAGAGCCACCAAAGGCCAAAGGCGAAGATTTGCTGGAACTCTGGGAGCAAATCTACGACGAGACCAGGTCGCAACGAATCAGCAACGGATGTGGCGAGTATCACATCCTTGCAATGGCCCTTGCAATCTTTGAGCAAGCCTTGGGATTTTGCCATTTAGGAGACGGCCAGAAGTACGGTGGTTGAAACAGCGGCTGGGCCATCGGACGACAGCAATGCAGCTCTCCCCTATGAGAAGCTCTATGCTATTGTGGGCCGGCCAGCCAGCCTTTGGCACACAGACGAGTAGCAAAGTGCAAAATTGGTCGCAACTTTGAGGCGACGGCGGCCATTGGAAGTGGCCGCGCATTTGGAGGCGATTTGATGAGCTCGAACGACGAGGCCCCGCCGGAGCAGAATGCAAGAAGCAGCTGCAGATGCTTGCAGATGCTTTCTGCAGGAGCCGCCTACCGAGAAGGAGAGCCTACGAACTTCGGCCTGCCGAATCCAAACCCCGACATAGAGCCGCAGCCGCTTGGATTTGAAGTCCAGAAGCCTCTTTAGCTGGGAAGATGTGACCTGCAGGACGGTCCTCGTTGTGGGTGGTGGCCCAGTTGGACTGCGACTGGCCATCGAGCTGAAGCTGGGAGGTCACCAGGCAGCGGCCCCAGCAGCATGAAGGCAGAAGACGCCTCGGCACGACCCCCTTTGATCGCAGGTAACCGTCTTCGAAAAGCGGCGCGAGGTGCGGGACGAAAGCGGGCAGTTGCAGCAACTTGGGTTCACCAATCGAAGCACGGCTGAACCGTGAAATCCAGTATGGCTCCTTCTGAATGACTTCTATCACTATCACTGTTGCTTAGGAATCAACCGGCCGCATGTCTTCAACTTCCTGCGAAACGACCTCTGAGCTGCATGTTGCGTCGAAAGTCCATAGAGGCAACGCGGTCAGATGAGGGCAGGTCTCTAGAGTTATCCGGGACCCAAGAGATCGTAGAGTTGACAGGCTGCGTCTTGGCAGGCTCAGAGGCGGTCTGTAAACGAGCGGGAGGAAGCCGGGAGTTACTGTGAGTGTCTGGGCTACTCCGCTGGAGCATCCGACTGTGGCGTGGTTTGCGTTTCACCGCCCTTGTCCCGCCAAGCAAAACGGGGGAGAGGTCACCTCGTTACCTCAGGCGCCCGCTCTCTTTCTCTCTCTCTCTCTCTCTCTCTCTCTCTCGAAAGCACAGAGCCCGTGGGTGGACTCTAACTTCATGGTCCGGCGAATTATCAGTACAGACTGCACTAGACTATTCTGCACGCGGCCAACCGTTGCTGTACGGATTTTGCCCACGAAGAAGGGGAAACAAAACAACAAGAAATACAGTACAGTTTAGTGACTTAGCTCAGTGGCAGTAATGTCGGGAATATTTGTGTTAAGCGAATACGGGATGGTGATGATCATATGCTTGAATGCAATGGCCACCCACACAGCTGTGTGTTGTAGCTTCACTGCAATCATCATCGCTCCCAGGCAGTTTCACCCCGCAGCAAAGACTAACATCAAGGGCAGAAATGAGCCAAGGACCTGGACCGGTTGAATGGCCGGGATTTCATGTCTTCCAAGCTCCTCGGCAGTTCCGAGTGTGCTCTGCACAGGGGTGACTTGAAACATCGAAGCAGCACACGTGTTAAATGTGAGAGCAAGGATGTGCTATCCGGTTTTTACTCAAGCAGATACATCCTCGATTGGCATCGACGACTCTTGAATGCATTGAGGCAGCAGAGGGATGAAACAGCTTTCCGAAAGGGCCCTCACGCAGCCGAGTGATGACTGCCTGTTGCAGTAGAACGCCTTACGTGACACCTCGCTCGTCGGAAGCCAAAGAACAACTGTGCTTGACTGCCACCGAGCATCTCCACTCTTACAAGAATCTTCCCAGGAACTTCAGTTGCTCTTGCTGAAGAACGCCCTGCTTTTGGGCGTTGACTTCCGTATGGGTATGTCGTACGAGGACGGTTTTGCGGACCGGAGCTGCGCTTGAAGAATTGGGCACGGCGAACAGCCAAGGATGCCGAGATTGTTCTGGATCCGCGAACTCAGAAGCCAAGGCCGCAGCCTCAGTTCCCGAAGTTAGTTGAATGCCATTGTGAGGTTTCCTTT